GGCCTTCTCCTTCACACTTCCCCCCCTCGCTCGCCGCCGACCCGTGTTTATTGCCCCCCCGTCTCGTTGCCGTCCGCCCGACGCTCCTCCTGATCCCTTCCCCGCCCCTCTCGGGCGGGTGGCAATGGCGGGTGATCGAAATGGGGGGTGAGAAAGGGGGCCTGAAGGGCCCCTTTGGGGGCCTTGCTGGCTCATAAAGGGGGGCCCTTTAGGCCCCTTTCCTTCATCCCCCTTGTGGGTCATCCCCCGTTACCAACCGCCCGCCGGGGTAGTCATCTGTTAGGGGCGCGCCGCTTGAGCCCAAGCGGCGGCGGACGCAGGCGCGTCGCTCGTAAACTCGCCGTTGACCAAAGTTCAAAGTCCGCTGCCGTCCGCCCGACCCTCCTCCTCATCCCTGCTCCGCTTCTCGTGAGACCCTGGCCCTGGTCCCCGGCACTTGTGCGTGCGAGCCTGGTCCAACGTGCAGCTTCCTTACACCTCCTGGGCCCGCGCTGGCGGTTGGAGGGCCGTTCAAGTCCCCTGCAGTGCCACTTTCCCGCGAACCTCGACCCCCCGTGCTCATTGCCCCTCACTTCGCCCCGCCGCCGCTGGGACCCCAGCGCAGCAGCCGCCGCTTGTCACGCCGGCGGGGCCCGCCGCGCCACGCGCTCCCGGTGTGACCCGTCCCCACGAGCGGCCCATCTCCTCCCCTCCGCCTTCGGCCGCCCGCCCTGCACCCCTCTTCCAGCCTCCTGCACTGCGGCACAATTCGCTACAACGGTGCCCCCGTTTAGTTAGCCCTCCGCCAGCGCAGTTACTCTGCCTAGCCGCCGACGCAAACAGTTGATTGCCTCCCCCCTCCCGCTTCGGCGGCGCGCACAAGGGGGTAGGGGGAGGCGGAATGCTTCTCAGAAGCATGGGTGCTTCTAAGAAGCCTTTCCCCCTACCCCTACGGTCAACCAGCATAAGAAGGACGCACGATATGGATGCAACGGCCTTGGAAGGCCATGTCGACACTCTGCGAGCGAGGCGCGGCCAGGGAAAGTGGCCAGGGAAAGGATGCAAGGGCAACCTTGGAAAGCCGCTCATCCTTACTGTGCGGGTTGACTGTGCCCCCCCCTGCGCGTGGCTGACCGTTGCCGTCCGCCCGACCCTCCTCCTCATCCCTTTCGCGCCCCTCGTGAAACCCAGGTCCTGGTCCCCAGCATCTGTGCCTGCGAGCCGCGGCCGCGCGACGTCGTGCGCTTCAACCAGCACCTTTCGTGCAGTGCCACCTTCCTGCGAACCTCGACCCCACATGTTCATTGCCACCCCCACCAATTGCCGTCCGCCGACCTCCTCCCCTGAGATCCGACGTTGCCAACAAAAATGCAACATCGCAAAAAATCACGCCCGGACCCCCGGACCCCCGGACCCCACCTTTCTGCGTCGTTTCTCAAGCTGGATAGATCTGCGAGGGTCCCGGGGCCCGAGATCGAGCGAGAACGCCTGCTGTGAAAAAAATGGCAACGCCAGGATTTCAGGGTCATCCCTTCTTGGGCGCCCGAGTTATCCAGGGTAACTCGGGTCCGGGGTAACGCGGGTTTGGATTCCCGAAAAACGAACCCGAGTTAGCCCTGACCCGAATTACCCCTGATGATTGCTCTGGGCGCCCGAATTATCCGGGGCAACTCGGGCCCGGGGTAAAACTCGGGTTCGGGTTCCCGAAAAAAAAGCCCGAGTCAGCCCTGACCCGAGCTACCCCTGATGAGTCGGGGCTCTGACCTTCCCCGCCCCTCGTGAAACCGTGGTCCTGTTCAGTGCGACCCTGGCCCTGAAGGATCCTGCACGATCGGGCGCTCTGGCCGACCCCTGTTTGCATTGACCCCCGTCTCTTGGGCCACGACCTTCCCCGCCCCTCGTGAAACCGGGGTCCTGGTCCCCAGCGCCTGTGCCTGCGACCCGCGGCCGCACGACATCGTGCGCTTCTCCGCCGCGGGCGGCCCCAGGCCGGGCAGCACCCCGAGTATCGAGGGCACCAGAGTCAGCTGGCGGCGGGCGGCTCTTTTTGGGGGGAGCACGGGCACCCCTTCCGCTCCCTCCTCCACCCTCCGCCACCCTCCTCCACCCTCCTCCATCCTCCTCCTCCTCCTCCTCCTCCTCCTCCTCCTCCTCCTCCTCCTCCTCTCCTCCTCCTCCTCCTCCTCCCTCCTCCTCCTCCTCCTCCACCCTCCTCCTCCTCCGTATCCTCCGTCTCCTCCTCGTCTCTCCTCCTCCTCCTTCCTCCACCCTCCTCCTCCTCCTCCACCCTCCCCTCCTCCTCCTCGTCGCTTCCTCCTCCTCCTCCTCCTCCTCCTCTCCTCCGTCTCCTCCGTCTCCTCCGTTCTCCTCCTCCTCCTCCGTCCTCCCTCCGTCCTCCTCCGTCCTCTCCTCCGTCCTCCTCCGTCTCCTCCTCTCCTCCTCCTCCTCCTCCTCCTCCTCCTCCTCCTCCTCCTCCTCCTCCTCCTCCTCCTCCTCCTCCTCGGGGGACGGGGAGGTGTTTTCTCTCCCGGGGGGAGAAGATAGGAGCGGACACGGGGGGGTGGGGACGGGGAAATGACGGGGCGGGAGAGGGTTGCGGGGGCGGGGAAGGAGATCGGACAGTCACCCAGCGGCGTCTACAAGAGAGCGGGCGGAAGTGAAGGGGACGGGGCGGGGAAGGGACGGGTCACCCCGCGGCGTCTACAGGAGAGCGGGCGGAGGTGAAGGGGACGGGGCGGGGAAGGGACGGGTCACCCAGTGGTTTTCAGGAGAGCGGGCGGGGAAGCGAGGGAGGGGGGGGGGGAGGCGGGAGAGAAGTCCGCCGCCGTGCCTGCGGCACGTCGGAGCGCGTCAGGCTGCTCCTCCGTTGTCTGAGGGGGTCTTCTGCGGCGTCTCTGGGGCCGACCTCCCGCCCCTCGGGGCGAAGCACATTGCAGCACCACTCAAAAAACAAGTGCATTTGCTTCCCGATGCTTTTCTGTTTGAGATCGCCTCGGGAAGGCTTTACAGAGCACCCAGAAGCTCCGAAGAAGGCCTGAGACGGCCTCAGCAACGCCACGCCCCAAGACCGCCCCAAGAGCGCACTTGTCGGCTGCCAGCCGTCCCAAGACAGCGAAAGACCGCCCTAAAACGGATGCAATACGCCGCATGGCCATCCGAAGACGGCCCACCGAATTTCTGCAGGCTCCAAGATCCCTCAAGATGCCCACAGAGGCCTCCAGGAGACCTCCGAAGAGGCCTCAAGCAAGGCCCTCAGAGGCGACAAGCCTAGACAAGCCAGAAGACAACCTATGTGTCTGCTTCCGACGCGCCTCGGCTTTAGATCGCCCTGGGAAGGCGCCAGAGAGCGACCACGAGTACCCAAAACTGCCCGAGATAGCCACACCAGCACCCCAAGACAACCCCTAGACTGCACGGCAACACCTCTGGAAAGCCCAAGAGGGCTCCAAGATGGCCCCAATACTTGCCCATAGTTGGGACGTACGAGGGCATACCAGTACTACGTGTCCTCCTTGGAGGCGTGCGTCCGACCTGGGCATGTAATACAACCATCTTGTGGTACATCGTTTCCCGAGCCATACGGCAAGTAAGCGCCCGCCACCGAACATATACTGTAAGATTTCCCAGCGCGCGCGTCGCCCCTGGGGTGCAGACGCACACGTCGGAGGTGAGGGGGTGAGATCGAAGTGGAACGGAGAGCCCCCTACCGGGAAATCGGTTTCGGTTTCGTGTTCGTGCGTGCCTTGCGTGCGGGCGAGGCGAAGCTGCGTGGGCGGGCGAGAAATGTCCCGCCTCTGGTTGAGGCGCGGCCATACCAAATGTTTCCTGTGCAGGGGCCGGTGGCGCGCGGTGTCCCGCCGGTGTCCCGATGGTGATGATGATGATGATGATGATGATGATGATGATGATGATGATGATGATGACGATGTTGATGTTGATGATGATGATGATGATGATGATGATGATGATGATGATGATGATGGTGGTGATGATGATGGCCATGATGGTGATGATGGTGTCTCGATGATGATGATGTTGATGATGCTGATGTTGCTGATGATGATGATAATGATGATGATGATGATGGTGTCCCGATGATGACGGTGATGATGATGATGATAATGATGTTGATGATCATGATGCTGTTCATGATGATGAGGTGATGAGATGATGATGATGATGAAGATGATGATGGTGTCCCGATGATGATGTTGATGATGATGCTGTTGATGTTGATGATGGTGATGATGATGATGATGGTGTCCCGATGATGATGATGATGATGTTGATGATGATGATGATGACGATGATGGTGTCCCAATGATGATGATGTTGATGATGAAGATGATGATGAGGTGATGATGATGACTTTGATGATGGTGGCTCGATGATGGTGATGATGCTAATGTTGATGATGATGATGATTTCCCGATGATGATGATGATGATGATGATGGTGACGAGGATGATTGTGTCCCGATTATGATGATATTGATGATGATGATGATGATATTGCTGATGATGATGGTGTCCCGATGATGATGATGATGTTCATGATGTTGTTCATGGTGACGATGAGATGTGTTCCGATGATGCTGATGATGATGGTGTCCCGATGATGATGATGATGATGATGGTGATGATGATGATGATGATGATGATGATAGTGACGATGATGGTGTCCCGACGACGATGATGATGATGATGATGATGATGATGATGATGATGGTGATGAGGTGATGATGATTATGGTTGTGTCCCGATGATGATGATGATGATGATGATGATGATGATGATGATGATGATGATGATGATGATGATGTTGATGACGTTGATGACGATGATGGTGATGATGATGATGATGACGACTTTGATTGTGATATCGATTGTGAGATCGATAGTGAGACCGAATGTGAGATATATTGTGATATCGATAGTGAGATCGATAGTGAGATCGATTGTGAGATCGATAGTCAGATCGATTGTGAGATCGATCGAATGAAATAGATCGAGTTAGATCGATTGTGAGATCGACCGAGTGAAATCGATCGAGCGAGACCGATAGTGAGATCGATAGTGAGACCGATCGAGTGAGACGTTGGTTCCTCCCCCCCCGAACCTCCTTATCACCCGAAGGGTGGTCGTATAGGTAGTGTTAGTATGCTTACTCTGGCTGGGACAAAAATCCCCCCCTTGCATCCGCTGGGGGGTTGGGCACGTGCCGTCGGCACGGGTGGAGTTGGGGTTGGAGGAAGAAGAGGAGGAGGAGGAGGAGGAAGAGGAGGAGGAGGAAGAGGAGGAGGAGAAGGGAGAGGAGGACGGAGGAGGCGGGATTGGGCAAGCTCAGTCGGAAGCTTAATCACCCCCCCTCGATAAACACCCCATCCAGACGAAGTTGTGCCAAAGACTGCCCCCGAGATGGCTCCATCGAGCCTCGTCGGGGGGAAGCTCTCAGTGGAGCCGCCGCGCCCGGGATGGGCCCCGAGGGGCCCCCGACGGGAGCCCCCGACGGGAGCCCGGCGGGCTCCGAGCGGCCCCCGCGAGTGCGAGTGAGAAGAGGGGAAGGACCGACCACAAGGATTCTTAAAACGCGTCTGCGTTTAGAACGAGAAGCCAAGACGAAGCTGAACGTTTACGACGAACGTTGACAACGCTACGGGAACATAACGAAAACGAATACGAAACGGTGCTGCCAGTCAGCGAGACAACAAAACGAACAACGAAACGACCTCCGCAGACCTCGTTGGATCAGAGAGCCAACTCTACCAGCAACCCGCAGGGTGGAGGCGATAGATGCGCTCTCTTCGCGGCACGAGGGAGCACTAGCATCAGTAACGTCAACACCTTGCGATCCGAAAAGGCGCAGCCGTAGAGGTGAGGATAGGGACAAGAGGCGGTACACACAGAGGGCCTTGGAGGCCCTCGAGGGGCCCACGGGAGCCCCTCGAACGCCTCCGAGATGTCGTCACAAGGAAAAACGAGGACGAAGGAGGAAGAAGAGGAAAGAGAGGCTTCGGGCAAGAAGGGGAGGCTTGGAGTCCCGAAACGGTGCGGTGACAGACCGTGCGGTGACCTCGAAACCCCCCAGGACCTCGCCGCACGGCCCGTCAACGCACGGTGTTGGGACCTCGGATGCCCCAGTCGCCCGAGACGTATCTGAAGCTCGACCTCCTCGCTGCTGCGCTGCTGCCCGGGCACGGTGGCGGCATCTGCCACAGGCAGCTGGATGTGGGGATGGGGACTCGCAGCAGGAAAGGAGGAGGAGGAGGAGGAGGAGGAGGAGAAGGCTGAGGAGGGAAGTGCAGGGGCGACACGGGGAATTGGCCCCAGTGGTTCCCCGACAGCATGGGGAGCACGCGATCGTCTACCAGTGTCCGACTGACGCCCATCACTCCACCACATAGGCGCCACCTGAAGGTCGCGGGCAGCGGTGATTCGCCAGGGGCGTCTTCGATAGGTTCTAGCGCAGGCCAAGGCGCCGTCATGAGGAATTGGCTCAATGTCGCGATGTGGTCTAGGGATGCCGCCCGTCTGCACTGCCTTTGTGCCAATTCCAAATCACCTCTTTGAAACCTCCCGTTCCGCCTTGCAACGTCACTTAGCAGTCATCCTCTTCACCCTCTTGTTCTCTGCGTCATCCATCACCTTTCCTTGGTCATTGCTTCTCGCTCCACGCTCCTCTCGCCTCCCTCCTCCTGCTACAGAGCTCACAGCTACTATGTAGGTTGTAGCCGATGTTCTGTCCACGTACCATCATTATTCCCTCATCCTAATTATGGAGGGTCCTCATCCCTGAATACTCGCGCAAGCACGTTCACTATCAGATCCCCCTCACACTGAGACTTACGGATACGCTGATTCGTTCATACGGGGACTGCTCACATTCAAGCCAATTCCAGACTCACTCACCCATACTCAGATCACTCACGCTCAGACGCACTCACACCCGGCCCATATTCGCGCACATTCTGTCTAACTCACTCTCAGACTCACTCACACAGAGAGTCGCTGATACTCAGGCCCACGTA